TCTCCTCCATTCTCCTCTCGGGATCTTGGGCACGCACGCACACGCGCCCGGCGTGAGTTTAAGCCACCAGGTCCGGGACTCGAACCACGGTCGACTACGTGGGAGTCCAGCGACATAGCCAATACGCTAACTGCTGGTCCCCAAAGTTACATTCTTTAGTCCAATAAAATTTTGGTGATGTCTTTGAATTAGTATCAGCTTTCATGACATTACATCTTCAAGTAGAGTTTCTGTGTTTGAGAGAATTGTGGGACCAATAATAAACATACAACATTTTTACTTTTTTTTCCCTATTACATCTCTTGCTGCTACTGCTTTTATGTCACTGCAGTTGGCTTTTCTTTCTTCGCTGGAAGTTTTTTTTGAGAGATCTTTGCTATAGGGCGTATGTGCTCCTCAGAGAGACAGACAGAAAATGAGAATTCACTCCCTGGGGGGATGGTCGCACCACAATCCCTTCCCCTCCATTCTGGGTACACACAGGTACCCAGCATGATTTTCAAGTCACTGGGTGTGGGACTCACACTATCCACGTGGAAGTATAGAGCCTTAACCATCTGCTGGCCCCTGGAAGTTTTACTTTGCCAGTCTTTGTAGAGCTTTGAACTCCCTTCATTTTTGCATCTCATTTTCTTTATTATATTTTAGAGAGATTTTTGCTATAGGGAGCATGTGCTTGCTGGTGAGACAGAGGAAGATAAACAGAAAGTGAGAAATCATCCCTTAGGGGGTATGACCATGCCTCAGTCTCTTTTCCTCTATTCTTCTCTCGGTATTTTGGGCATGCACACACATCTTCTTAGCGTGGATTTCAAATTGCTGAGTCTGGGACATGAACCGTGGTTGGCCATGTGGGAGTTCAGCGACGTAACCATTATGCCAGCTGCTGGTCCTTCATTTTCTTTATTTATTTCATTGCCAGAGGGTGAATGTGCTCACCAGATTGAGGCAGAGAGGGAGAAAGCACCCCTCCCACCCCACCCCCTTGAGATGTCATCATGCTGCAGTTTTTGCCCCTTTGTTTTGCCATCCATCTTGGCTTTTTGAGTGTGGTGTGCTTTTCAGGCTTCCAGGGCCTGGATTCCAACCATGGGATGGCCATGTGGGGTTCGACTCCCTTAGCTACTAGGCTCTGGGCCAGCCCCATCCATCTCATTTTAATAGAAACCAAAGACTTCTTGTAGGTGGAGAGAACCTTAGCTATCAATTGGATTGCTTGAATTATTTTATAGATAAACAATTAACTCAGGAAGAAGCATGAGAGGCCTGAAAGGAGTGGAGAGGAAGGGGTTTGTACCTTGCCTAAGGACATATAGGTTGAGCTGGAGCTAAGATCTGAGTCCTTCATCCTCATTCCTAGTGTTTACACTTGACCAGATACGGGTTCTCAGAATGTCCCTAGCCTCTCTGATTGAGGAGATACCGAGATTCCTTTTGGCTGGACCTCACTTATCAGATGAGACAAAGTGTAATGAGTAAATGACCTTGGAGAATCTTTAAAAAAAAAACTGGGTATTGCCTGTCTCATGCTAAAGAATTTTTTTGTTTCTTTTAAAGTTTGTTTCTTCCATAAGTGAGAGAAACAGAGAGATAGCACCCCCTTACCCTCAACACACACGTAGGATCTTGACACCACAGAATCTTGATTCACCACAGCATCAACCAGAGCAAGATCATGGGCGCGTGTTCCTGGCATATTCAGGGAGGTCTGTGGATGTGAAGTTGGAACCATTCCGTGCGGGTCAGCTTTGCAGAGCACTGTGTTTTATGCTGCACCACTGCATAAGCCCCCTAAAGAAGAATCCTAGATAGGTGAACATATCCACATTCCATGTGCTTTTAGCTTGGGCTAGAACTTATGCCAGACAGGTCGCCCAACTCCCAAAGACTGTACTTCCGGACCCATTTTTCAAATTCTTGGTCCATCAAAGCACATTCCTGAAAATCTTTGGTTTTTGTAGTGTAGGCTGCTACAGGACTAGGTTCTTAATCTTAGTCAAGGTAATTATTAGGTCATAGTTAATCATTGT